AAAAAAAAAAAAAAAAATGTAAATTATTGATGCATATTGAAAAGTGTTATATAGATAAAATTTGTATTTATCAATATTGGGGAATGATGCAGATAAAAAATGCAATAATATAAAAAAGTTAAATAAAATGATTAAACAATTAAGTTAAAACAAAAAATAAAAAATAAAAAAAAGTAAAGAACGCTGAACGCGTTCAATATGTTGAACGCACTTGAGGGCCCCGCAGATAAATGAACAACCACATCGCTATTGAACGCACAAGTGGCGTTAAACGCCCAAAATGAATGAAGCGATGCGGGTGCTCTTAGTGCTTAAATTTTTCTTTTGCCGCTCTTTTTTTTTGAAGTTAAATATGCCAAGAAAGTGTTATATTTTATATTAATTGGACAATAATTATATATTTTTTTTATTATTATATAATCTTATTATAATTATTATTAAAATTAAATAACTATATGTTACACCAAATGATATATAAAAGTTACAAAAGCATGAAAAAATATATTGTAAAACTTTTTCTTCATTATTTATTCTAAAATTAATAATCTTTTTTATGTCGTTAAGTGATAATTTTTTTAATAAATTAATTAATTTTAATGGCATAGTCAAACTACTTAAAATCGCGTAAGTAGTTGTTATATTAGTAGATTCAATATTTATTCAGGTAATTAATTGGTTACAATCTCTCAAATTACACTGTTCATTTAATTTTATGCAATCAATATAGTAACGCATATAAAATTAAATAAGTTACTACTAGTTATTTTGCTAATGATCAACTCTTTGAAAATGTAATATTATTGTTCATATTATAATTTGATTATTATATGCATACATATAATTGATATTACATTATTTATATTTTTGCATGCGTAAAGGATCAAACGCTAGATTTATGTTTAATATTTTATTCATTTATTAATGCACTAGTTACATTTTATTCATTTAATTTCTGTACTTATTATGATATTTTTAATGCTAGATATGTTATGGAAAAATTGGTTATTTTTTGTTTAATGTGAAAAAAAAAATCGTTTTGTCAATCATTCATTTTTCTTTTGTTTCCATGCATTTCTCGTGCATCGCACGGACTTTTAAGTTAGTTCTATACTAAATATTTAACTACAACGTACGAACAAAGTAATTATAATTAATCCGAAGCACGTTATATATGAATCCTTGATCAGACAATTATTTATTGGATTTAATCTCTAAGAAAATAAATTTTTTTGCCATATATGAATAATGTACCTCGATAGGAATGAAGTTCCAACTCTGTGGCCATGTTTAACAAAGATGTTGTCTCACTATCAACCAAAAGCACTCGAAGACCACGAAAAGGTGCCGGAATTAAAGGGTTATTAGAATTTTGTTCACTCATCTTTAAATTAAAAGACCGAAATTAATTCAATAAATTCACTATGGCTTACATATATTAAAGTGGGATATATATAAAGAAGGGAATTTCTACAATCCCGCTACGGAATCATTCGGTTGGAGTTTGTAATCGATAGATCAACTATCCACAACGGTTGTATGATGATCTAACTGTTACAAATCCTGACAGAATGGTTAGGATCGTAGCATTTTCCTACAAAGAATTTAATGTGTATCTTTGTATATGTTCATAAATCAACAACATACAATTGGGAAGCATAAAATCCCGTGATTTTTTATTTTGGAGAATAAAATACAATAAAGCGTGCATGATTTTATTTTATTTGGGTGTATATGGGATAAACTTAAAGTCATCTCGATTGGTGTTGATCGAAGGCAAATATTACTATTACAACATCTCCTGTTGGGGCCTAAAGAAATCGGGATGGCTTTATTAGTTCAAGATTCTAATGCTTAATGAAAATCCACAATCCAAGATATTTTTCTTCCTATCTAGCTTGCTACTTTAAGTTCTTAATGCAAGCCATTGATAAATTGTTGCAGAGCCATAAAAGGAAAATCATTTAACGCAAATATACAGCGACTACGTCTCTAATTATGCAGCGATTCATGGTTATGGCTCCAATAAGCTTGAATGGAGCAATAACCGAGCTATTGTCTCTAACTCGACACCAAATGAGCAATAAATATTCGATGTCTGCTGCAGCTCTAGGCTCGTCTGATTTATAACTCTCAACCATTCATGGTCTTTGTAGTCACTTAAGGCAGGAATAACTGACATAAAACATCATGATAGTGATCAGCCAGTCAACGAAGAATCTAAAAGATGTTAGAACATCCTTAAAACGTTAAGGAGTTGTCAACTTGTCCAGGTTCAACATACCCAAGTAGTGCGAGATAAGATTGTTTGAAACTTAGGTTGGACGATCCATCAATCCAAACCCACTACATGTCGAAACCTGCAGAATTAATCTTCTATTTTCGTCCAGAAAGTTGAAAAAAAAAAAGATTAATTATCGGGGTTAGGACCAATGTCAAGCCGATTAGATGTTAAAGCAGTATAAGGTCGCCTAATTGCTAAGTACCAAGGACAAAGGTATAAGATTCAAATCGAAGGCCCAGGTCCATGCCGAAGACGTGGCGAGTGAGTGGAATTTACCGACCTGCAGACGTACGCACACGTGTGGCAATAAA